GACCCAAAGATTAGCCCACAAGGTTTTATAAATCAGTTGGACCAAGTTTAGTGTTAGTGGGCTTGTGTTGGGCCTAAAAGTTTGGGTGATAGGTGATTAGTGTTTTATGTAAGAGAAAGTAGAGGGGCTAATAATGCAATTTTTCCCTTGTTGTTTTAAAGTTGAAGACCCTCCATTTTTTATATCATGTTTACGTGAACCACCCCACCATTTTCTCACCAAACACTCCTCTCTTCTTCTTCATCATTTTCTCTTTTCTTCTTCCTTTTTTAAGTGCAAAGTTTTAAGGATTCAAGCTTAGTTTGTTGTAGCCAAGGTAAGAAAGTTTCTCTCCATCCTTCAGCTTTGTTTTAGGCTCCATTTTGTAAGTTTTAGAATTAGTTTTCAAAATGGATTTTTCTTGAATGTAGGGTGAATCCTAGTTGATTCAAGAGGAGTTTAGCAACCAAGAAGGCCAGGTAACACACTTTAGCTTTCTCATACCAAGTGTAGATCATGGAAAGTTAAGATGTGTTAGAAAGTTAAGTTTAAAACATGTTTAGCAATTTCCATGGTAGATTGTTCATTTGATGTTATAAGCATGGTATAAAGCCTTATTTATGCTCCTTGTATTCACATAAAACTTTAATAATATTTGGGGACCTCACTAAGGTCTTTGGGATTAAAAATAGAGCTTTTAGTACTTGTTTTATGAATTCTGCAGAGTATCGATACTTGTTCTTTGTTTTGGGCATATTCGTGAGTTTCTAGGCAAGAGTATCGAAACTTTGGGTCATAGTTTCGAAACTCCTAGAAAGTGGACAGATCAGAATGTTTAAAAGTATCGATACTTATATAAAGTATCGAAATTTTTGCAGAAGTATTGATACTCTTGGGCTAGTATCGATACTTTCAGTATGTTTTGGTCAAAACGTTGCCCGAGAGGCCCTAGACCCATAGTATGACCATAAATGGGATCAAATATGTGTAAAAAACTAAAATAAGTGCTATAGAAGGTGTTTAAAGTTGGGTTAAAATGGATGAAATAGCTGTAGGGGTATCGATACCTTAGGAAGGATCGATCCTGCAGAGAGGGTATTGACACTGTAAGGCCAATATCGATACCAAGGGTATGGTTTGAGCTTAAAGCACGAGTAAGTGTAGAGGAAAGCGAGGGTCAATATTGTAAGGCCAGTATCGATACCAAGGTTGAGAAATGAGCTTTAATTCAAGTGAAAGTATAGAGGTAAGTGAGGTTTCCAAAAGCTTATAATTTCTCTCAAATAAGACTACAAGTGAGAACATTTATTAATGTTTAATTCAAACGTAGAAACGAGAATAAAGTTAGGAGAAATAAAACTAGTCTTGTTTGGATGCTCGGGAAAACAACCAGGACACCCGATTCCTTTAGAAAAGCTAACAGAGTAGACAGTATAGATTCAGTCTGGATATCCTTATGTAGGGTCGAGTCCCTTCTGACTAACTATGTTTGCCGAGGCCTTAACACTCTTTAGAAGAAAGGGAGGATTAGTCAGAGGTATGGTTTCGATGCAGGGACTTCCGTGGGCCATATCCAGGGTAGACTAGAGGGGTGTGTGAGCTCCGAGATGCAGAACCCTCAGCCGCAAAATGATGTCTACCATAGCTTAGAGAGTGAGTATTCGAGAATACTCATTAAAGCAGTTTTAAAGTAGACTAGCTTGGCGCAAGGTCCAACACTCAAGGAGTGGGCTAGTAGAACAGAACAGATTGCAGTAGACCTTATACCAGTAAACTTGATAGCTTGAGCTTTTCAGCGATGCAATTAGTATGCTTTAGCCGTTAGTGTGGCGCTAAGCTAGTTAGCTTAACCTTCGGATGTTCCGTGGGCAAGTTAGTAGATCAAGCAGTTGGGAAGCAGTAGATAAACCAAGGTTCAGACCAGTCCAATGTAGATCAGATGTACTTTTCAGCGTTTTTATTGGGCATGTATATTTGTAAACATTATTGTCCAGTTGAGTCCTAGATTCAGTCAAGTTGGTATGTAATATTTTTGAAGTGTAAAAATTTTATTTTGGAGCTTCTTAGTGAAAAGATAGTTTTTTTAATTATATTTCAGTTTTTTTATGGTTGGTTATAATAGTCGTTTTAAAGCATGAGAAATTAAGTTTAAAGTTGGTTAGCCACTTCGGTGGTTCCGTGTGGTATCCTACATCGGTCGTCTGTGTGTCGTACTGGTCTAGGGCGTTACAGAGAAAGCAAGGCATTGAGCCTAATGTTGTCACATACACTATACTAGTGGATGCCCATTGCAAGGAGGGAGCAATTTATAAAGCTAAAGGTATTGTTCACACAATGATAAATCAAGGCATTGAGCCTAATGCTATGACATATAGCACTCTTATGCGAGGCATGTATCAATTAGGGAGAGTTTCTATGGCATGTGAAACTTGGGGAATGATGCTTGCTTTTGGACCAGTTCCAGACCTAGTGACTTATTCGATTCTGCTAGATGGTTGCTTCAAAAATGATAGACTTGAAGAGGCTTTGAAAATTATTCGAGGGATGCAGAACAGTGGGCTGGAACTCAATATTGTCTGTTATAATATCCTAATTGACGGCTTGTGCAATGCTGGCCGTATCGAAGATGCAAAGGAATTATTCCTTGAACTCTCAGTCTGGTTTGAAACCTGATGTTTGCACATGTTATAATAATCAATGGTTTCTGTAAAGAGGGATTGCCAGATGCAGCATACCAGTTGTTGAGCATGGGAGATAATGATGGTTTTCCTAATAGCTGCTGTTATAATGTGATGATCCGAGTGTTTCTTCAACACAACTACACCTCAAAGGAAAAACACCTTCTAACTGAAATGGTCGGCAGGACTTTTCTGCAGATTTAAGGACTGCCTCCTTATTTGTGGATCTCATCTTACGATTTGGCAAACCAATATTAATATGAATGTTTCCAGAGTGTAAAGATAGTGGGTTGTGAATGTGAAGCACTTTGTTCATACTGCTGGGATACGTTATGTTTCAGTTTAATTTATATTGTGCCTTGCTTTAAGTGATGTTTGAATACCTGCAGTGAAGGGTCATAAGAAATAACCTAAATCCCCTGAAGCAGGCTGTCTACACAGATTCTGCAAGTTAGACGCTGATCCTGACGTTGTGACTTTTTCCACTTTGAATTATAATCCGATGCCGGGCCTTTAATTTAGCTGCTGTCATTCAGGAATTTTGTACCTTGCAAGCTTGGCTACTGTTTATTTGAGTGTTTGGAAGGAAGTCTTCTCTAATCATGTCTACATGAAAGGTTCGTGAATTTTGTATCAAATCCAGAAAAAGAAGAAGAGATAAATCCCAGATTAGAAATATGCAAATGAAATATCCCATAAGCTTAACCGATGGTTTTTCATCTCTGAGAATTCATTGGTCTGAGGCAATTCTTGTTCAATGGTCTTAACATGAAATGCTCATGGAAGGTTTTACTGATGATTAGCACTAGATCTGGTTCAATGGTCTGAGGCAATTCTTTTTTTTTTCTATGGTGATATTTGGAGTCTTCATTGTCTGGCTTGTGATGGCTTTGATTTGGATTGTAACTTGAGTAGCAAATTGTTTTCTATTGGTGATCATCCAGGTAGGGTCTATCGGTGGTGGTCTGTATTGGGGATGTAATTCTATTGTCTTAGCATTGAGGTAATTTTTATGGGGAGTTTGTTTCAGATATTTTTTTGGTTTAAGGGTGGTTGTGTCAGCCATGTTGGCCATCTATTTTAATGTGGTACGAGTTTGCTCAGCACGGGAGTTCCCTGATTTTATTTTTGGTTCATGTGTTGAGCACTTTCAAGTTTTATATTTCTTTATGTGGTACGTTGTTCTCGTTGCATGCTTTGTAATCATCTGCTAATTGGATCTAAATTCTTGTTAATTTAAGTCCACTTGCTATATCATAAGGTGATGTGGTATTTGAGATCGGATTTGTTGCAATGTCCAAATCTACAATGTCAAATAAGTTGTTGATACTGGAAATGAGGATTTGCAAGATGGTGTTTTCATATTTTGAAATGTTGTGACTTTTAGTTTGATGTACATACTATGAATCTTGAGTTTAAATTATATTGTATGTTACTCTATGTGCTGTTTGAATTCCTGCAGAGAGACAATAAGAAATAACGTAAATCCCCTGGAGCAGGCTTGTCTACACACAGATTCTGCAAGTTAAAAGAACTTTACTGCTATCCCAGAAGAGAAAAGTAGAAAAAGAATAACAAGTAAAGACTTTAACATCAGGTATCATTGCTCACATACTATTACAATTTTGAAAAGCAGATACTTTACATTCTTCTGTTCTGTCTGCGAAGGTGGTATGCTAGGAAGGAACACCCACCTCTTAACAGGTAGAAGCAATCTGATCTTTTGCTAAATGCCATTGATCTGGATGCTATGTGGGTTTGCTTAAGAGAAATTCTGTTATTGATGATGTCACTGGTGCTGAAAAGGTCTATATCGCCTCCATTTGTAGAGAACAAATAGGTCCAAAATGTCATTGCTTCTTCAACCCGTCAAACTTTATGAAGTTTGAGAAAGATGAGTCAGGAAGAATAGCCATTTTGCCCTTCTATCTTTAAGTGATGCGCGCGGTGAGTCTTTGATGCATCAAAATACTAGTAATTGTTATCATATTTTGCAATCTATCTTAATTATGTTCACGTCTTAGCATCAGTCTCTTATGAAATATTTTCTTCTAGTTTATTCTTAATGAGAAAGTGGTTCCTTGACTGCTGTTTATTGTTCAATGTTCTTCAGGTTTCCCTTACAGAAGCCAGAACAGAAATGAGTGAGCTTGACGAGTATTCAGATGGTTTCCTCCAACCTCATGTAACAAGTCTTTGCATCTTGAAGCCTCCCAAGTATTTAATTATCTTCTTACCGTATGGCACTACCAATCTAGCATCAGTTTATTTCTGACTATTTCTCATTTTTAAGAACTATAATTTCTTTTCTTTTTTCTTTGTACAGGAAATGGAGGCCTATATTTGTGGTCTTATTCTTAACCTGGCACAACTACGGGATATGTCTTGAGCCTTTGTTCAAATGTATTATCGCATAGCTGCACACAAGTTCTTCTTCTTTTACGATCCTCATAGACGAGGTCTGTGTGACATAAATTTGCACACCAACATCCAGTTGAATTATAACTAGTTTTAGTGATTCCATTATGCTCTCTTTAAATAGTTAATTATTTTTTTCTTTTGCAGGGAAAGGCTGCATAAAAAAAGCGCTACTTAGCAATTGTCTCCAGGAATTAATGGAAATACATCAGGTACAATATTCATGAGTATATCTTGTAGATATACTTTCCTTCGTTAAACTTCTGCGCACGAAAGTGAGGAAGAAGTCACCGACAGTGAGAAAGCCGAAAATTAGTTTTTCTTGACATCTGCACAATGTATATGTGTGAGTGTTCAGAACATTTTCGATTTCGTAGAGATTGTGCCGTGTTTTTATTGTTTTTGTATGCCATCTCCTTTGAATTTGATGGTATAGTGGATCACAATCTGCAATTTCTTACTCTTCCTATTCTTTGTCTTGATTTTGGAAACTGCATATGCAAATAATGTACGTGGGAAATATGATGTTCTAATTACACTCTGATTCTTCTCCTAGATATGTTTCTTGCCCTTGGTTTTTGGAAACTGCTTATGTTTGATCAGAAGTGGTAGGATATAACATTTCTTTTTCCGGAGTATACCCCGCTTTCTCATGTTTGATCCTTCAGCCTGGTTGTTACTTAAACGCCTGTTCTTCAAAGCAAAAGTGGAATTAAACTTTGGAATGTTACTAAACCAACCCCTCATATATCCTCTTCTTCTACTTAGTCGTTTCCTTTCTGCTATTATGTGTGGATTTCATTTTGGGTTTTCTACTCGATAATTTTTAAATTTTTTATGCACTCAAAGTATTTGATGAGCATGCCTGCCGTGGTAAAACTGGTGCTGGAAATAATCGAGAGATGGATTTCAAAAGTTTTCTTGACTTTGTTCTGGCCATTGGGAACAAAGACACCCCAGAAGGATTAACATATTTGTTTCGCTGCTGCCTCGATCTTAATGGTAGAGGATTCCTCACAATGGCAGCAGATATTCACTCTCTTTTCAGGTAAAGAACTCTTCATGTATTCTTAATTGAAGTATAATTTTGACTGTCGCGGTTTGGACCCATATTATGTGGTTTGAGGGATTGAGTATATCTTGAAAAAATGGAAATGAAGAAGGGGAGCATCACAGTAATGAGGTGTTTACCTGATACAATCTTCCTACATAGAACTCCGTATTTTCCTGCTTGTAGTAACTGAGCAAGTTTTTGCAAGTCTCATATATCCTGATACATGAATGATGAAATTACTGATTTATTTCAACATTTTTCACCCAATATAAGAATTTCATCAATTGAGCAAACTTCTTTTTCGACTCTAGAAAACAGGGATGTACAGCAGAAATGGATCAAAGGGGGCAATTATGAATTGTTTATCGAGGATGTTCGGGATAAAATTTGAGATATGGTAAAGCCAGTTGAATATTACGTTGGCGTTTACCTCCTAGCTTGTAAACAGGGTGGCATGCTCGTAGATGTTTATCTTCAAATCCAGAACAAGGAGCAGCCAATCTCCACTCTATTTCCTCTAGTTCTGTCATAGACATCCTACTACAGTTGCTGATTACGAAAGAGCTTGCAAAAGACGGGAAAAAGGTAGACGAGAAAAGCAGAGCCATCGAGCATAAAACTCGTGCCGTTGCTTTTGCATTGGACTGTGAGGCGGATGCTACCTATCTAGATAATTTAGAGAGTTACAACTAATCCCCTTGCTTTCATGAAAATTGCTTTGCCACAATTATTTCACATTTTATACGTCATGTTTCTTGAATGTAAGTAATTTTCCATAATATATTGTCAATGTATTGGGTTGGAGTCATATTGAAATATTTGTACATGCAGAAGATTATCCAAATAAAAATTATTGTATATTACATTTTATATATAATTCAGGGGTTAAAATAATAATTAAACCCTTAATGATAAGTGATTAAAACTCAACTTTTTAAATTTGATGGGTAAAGTATATAAATATGAAAGGTAAGTAGCAATTTCATAAGTAACTACTTCGATAGTTTTGCCTTGAAGTTAAAAGAGGGGGGGGTTCTTTAAACTATTTTGGTTTACTTGGTTCGATATCCATAACTCAGCGACAACCTATACATTAAGAAAATATATATATCTATGAAGGAGGAGCTTCTTCCTCAAATGGATTCTCCATTTTCTACAGAGAAATCGAGGATTGAGAAATTCATACGAAGAGTAATTTCGCCGGCAATCATCGGCAAAACATGTCCGATATGCCTTAGAACCATCGACGTCCGTGGAGCGGCTGTTCTCACGGTTTGTTCCCACGCTTACTGCTTAGATTGCATTCGCAAGTGGAGCGATTTGAGGAGGAAATGCCCTCTCTGTAATTCCATCTTCGATTCTTGGTTCTACAGAATCGATCTCTTCTCCCTAAGATTCCTCAAACAGCAATTACCCGCTCTCCCTGACTGCAGATCGGATACTCCTCGTCCTCCGTCCACCGTAATCGATCGTCGACGGTGGGATTTTTGTTAACGATTTTCTGACACATTAAATGGAGTAAAGAATTGATTATTTAAGTTGGTTCTTTTTTTTTATTTGTTTAGGGTTATTGAAAGATCAAGGCGAGAAATTAACAGTGTTAACAGGAGATCAAGGCCGTTGCCTTGGCGGCGATCATTTGGGCGGGCTGGGACTGTGTCACTTCATGTTATCGCTGAAAGGAAGCTTCAATGGCGTGCCAGGTACTTTATGGCGCCCAGATTAGCTATATGCTTATTCTTATGTTCTTTTGGGTTAAAAAAGAAAATATGGAGAATTCTTAGGTTTTTTGTTTTTGCAGTGTGTATAATCGAAGATTGCAAGCTGTGCCTATGTCTCATGGGATTAGTTCTCAGGAGGTATGTTTTACATGGTTTAAGGCTGGCAATTTCTGCATATTGTCACCTATTTTATTTTTTGTTTTTTATATATATTTGAAGTATCATATCCTTAAGTCCTATCTAGATGAACATAGATACGAGGCAAAGAAACTTTAGAAGAAAAACAAAGAACCAAGATAACATGAATCAGCAGATTAGCTTAGTATATGGTCTTGATGTGTTCTCTCATTTCTTTCAGAATGTACCCAGAAATGCTTTCGATAAAGAGAGAATTATGCAAAGAATAGAACCATGGATTCGAAGGGAGCTTCAGGCTATCCTTGGTGATCCAGATCCGTCAATCATTCTTCATGTTGTGTCCTCACTTCTTTTTTCTGGACATGAAAGAAAGTTCGATGGCTCTTCTTCCACCTCTTCAAGACAGCTTGGTTTGGACGATAACTTTCTTGCTCCTTTGGAACCTTTCTTGCACGACCGAACCAACATGTTTTGGCATGAACTGAGGTGAGTGGTACAGTACACCTTTACTGAATGTTGTTTTTTCTTGCTTGCATTCTTTAACTTGTTGGTGGCTTGTGAAGATTTTTTTTATTGCTTATACTACTCGTTATTGTTTACTTTTATGAAAATTTATTTCAGATGCTTCGTAGAGAGTTCTTTTACAATGGAAACATATGATGCAGTAATCGAGTATAGACAGTTGGAGTAGGGGCTTACAACATTTAAAAAAAACAGATCATCCCCACCTTCTACATGCTGGCATACTGCATATGTGGCCCAAGAGATGAGCTTGTTATGGTCATTCATTGCCCAATCGCCGAGGCACTGGTGATCTGGTAAAATGGCACAACTTAGAGATTGAAGGAATAATCAAATTCCGAAAGATGAGGTTTACCAAGGGAAAATTCTTTGAAGTTCAGAGGAGAACCAAGCACTAATTTCGGAGCAGATTAAGCATGTTAGTCGAGGGTTGCAAGCAAGCAAGCTCAAAGGTGCCGGTCGATATCCTTGTACATGTTCCTTGGCACAGTCTATTTTATTTTAATCATTTGACATTCTCTTGGAATGATTTGCAATGATTGAATGGAAAGGCATTTATACAATTCAATGGAAATTTTGAATTTTTTTTTATTTAATGCAACAAGTTGAAACTTGATTAAAGAGTTGCAGAGTTTGATACAACATATCAGATCATAAATCATACAAGAAATGCAACAAAATAGTAAATTTTGCAAGACTACAAGGACCTTCGACAAAACAAGCAACATTTTGATCAAAGATGTCATGATTCTTCCTCGGGCTCTTCTTCCTCTTGGAGAAGGTTTTCCCTGTTATCGTGTGCCCAAAATCCGCGCACGTCTATGAGCATGCTAGCCACGGTACCACCCTGTTTACAAGCTAGGAGGTCAGCCAATGTAATCTTCAACGGATCAACTGGCTTTACCATATCCCAAATTTCATCCCGAACATCCTCAATACACAATTCATAGTTGCCCCCTTCGATCCATTTCTGGTGTACATCCCTGTTTCAAGAGTCGAACGAGAAGTTCGTTCAGTTGATGAAATTCTTATAATGGGTGGAAAATGTTCAAATAAATCAGTAATTTCATCATTCATGTATCTGGAGATATGAGACTCGCATAAACTTGCTCAATTTTTACAAGCAGGAAAAAACAGAGATTTATGTAGGAAGATTGGATCAAGTAAACATCTCATCTCTGTGATGCTCCCCTTATTTACTTCCATTTTTTCGAGATATATACTCAATCCCTCAACCCACAAAATATAGGTCCGAACCGTGACAGTCAGAATTAAACTTCAATTATGAATATATGAAGAGTTCTTTACCTGAAAAGAGAATGAATATCTGCCGTTGTGAGGAATCCTCTACCATTGAGATCGAGACAGCGAAACAAATATGTTAATCCTTCTGGGGTGTCTTTGTTCTCGAGGGCCAGAACAAAGTCGAGAAAACTTTCAAAATCCATCTCTCGATTATTTCCAGCACCAGTTTTGCCACGACGGACATGCTCATCAAATACTATTGGATGCAAAAAATCCAAAGAATAGTGAGTAGTTAAACCCAAATGAAATCCACCCACAATAGTAGAAAGAATACAACTATCTAAATAGAAGAGAATATATGTGGGGTTGGTTTACTAAAATTCTAAAGTTTAATTCCATTTTTCTGTGAAGGACAGGCGTTTAAGTAACAACCAGGCTTAAGGATCAAACATGAGAAAGCACGGTATACTCTGGAAAAAGAAATGTTACATCCTACCTCTTTCGATGAAAATTTCAGTCAGTGTTCCCTCAGCGTATTCTTTAAGCTCCTGTTTACTCAGTGAGCCATTCATATCTTTATCAAGGGCAAGAAACATATCTAGGAGAAGAATCCAAGTGTAATTAGTACATCATCTTTCACTCATACATTATTTACATAAGCAATTTCCAAAAATCAAGACAAAGAATGGGAAGAGTAAGAAATTGCAGATTATGATCCACTATACCATCAGTTCCAAAGGAGAGGGCATAAAAAACAATAAAAACACAGTGTAATCTCTACGAAGTTGAAAATGTTCACAGCACTCACCACATATACGTTGTGCAGATGTCAAGGAAAACCAATTTTCAGCTTGCTCAGTGTCAGTGACTTCTTCCTCGCTTTCCTGCACAGAAGTTTAACGAAGGAAATAAAAAATCAAAATAAGAAATATAGCAGTCAAAACCAAGTATAAAAGGATGGTATATTTACAAGATATACTCATGAATATTGTACCTGATGTAGTTCCATTAATTCCTGGAGACAGTTGCTAAGCAGCACCTTTTTTATGCAGGCTTTTCCTGAAAAAGAAAAAAATAAATGTTAACTGTTTGTAGAGAGCATAACGGAATCACTAAAGCTAGTTAAAATGCAATTGGGTGTTGGCGTGCAAATTTAGGTACAGACCTCGTCTATGAGGATCGCAAAAGAAGAAGAATTTGTGTGCAGCTATGCGACAATACATTTGAACAAAGGCTCCAGGCATATCCCGTAGTTGTGCCAGGTTAGGAATAAGACCACGAATATAGGCCTCCATTTCCTGTACAAAAAAAAATTATAGTTCTTAAACGTGAAAGATGATCAGAAACAAACTGACACTAGATTGGTAGAGTCACATGGTAAGAAATAATTAAATACTTGGAAGGCTTCAAGATGGAAAGACTCATTACATGAGGTTGGAGGAAACCATCCGAATCCTCGTCAAGCTCACTCATATCTATTCTGGCCTGTGTAAGGGAAACCTGAAGAACATTGAACAATAAACAGCGGTCAAGGAACCACTTCCTCAATAAGAATAAATTAGAAGGCAACACTTCATAAGAGACTGATGCTAAGACGTGCACATAATTAAGATAAATTGCAAAATATGATAACAATTACAAGCATTTTGTTACATTAAAGACTCACCGTGCGCATCACATAAAGATAAAAGGGCAAAATGGCTATTCTTCCTGACTCATCCTTTTCAAACTTCATGAAGTTTGATGGGCTGAAGAAGCGACGGCATTTTGGACCTATTTGTTCTGTACAAACGAGGCAATATGGCAAAAATCTTCATAATTCATCTGCAAGTCCAAAAAAATCAAGCTCTGAATACAGCTAAAAAAATAAAGTCACAGTTGTGAATAATAAACTAAAAGCAGCTAAGCATTTTTATCCTTTGAACTGAAGGAAAATGTAATGGCTGAGAATATAGACCTTTTCAGCACCAGTGGCATCATCGATAACACAATTTTCTCTTAAACAAACCCACATGGCATCCAGATCATCGGCATTTAGCAAAAGATCAGATTGCTTCTGCAATTCAGAATCAAGAACGTGAGCAATGATTAAAATGGACAGGTAGATGGTTTGGAACCAACACAATCTATCAAAGGAAGCACCAATGCTACCTTCAGAAATCGATATTTTGCCAGTCTCTGAACCCTATGACTAATGGATCCTTCCTCAGGCTTCTGAACCAAGCAAAACCAAAAACAAAAACAAAGAAACGAAGAGTGAGTTCATGTTAATAGGGGATTTTAAGAGTAATGAGGCGAACAGAATTACTAATTACTATACATGCCTTCTTATAGAAACTTGGTATTGAACCAGCTTCAGCACTTTTCTGTTGCTTTTCTTTAAATATATCTAGCAAGATCCTCTTAGTTTCAAGCTCTGGAAAAAGGAAAGAAAGAACACACAAAATCAGGAATCTTAATTGAGGAAACAAAAGCCGATTTCAATAGTAAAATGAAAGTATTTATCTCAGCAATTCAACTAAAAAAAAATCTCAGCAGATCCTCATTAATTAATACACATATTACCAATCGAAATATCATAGCATGTTATGATTGCTTTACTACAAAACTTGTAACAAGAAAAGTCCCAGTTCCTAATTTTTCTCAAATATATAAGCTTGAACCAAGAATTACAAACAGACGTCAAATCGCAAGCATTCTCATCTTTGCTTATCAATTCAGACACTCAAAAGTCAACATTAACCTAGCTTACAGGTTTATTACTTACCATCTTATCCAATAGGCTTCCACTACCATAGCTTAGCAAAATTATAAAACTTTAAACACCAATTCACATTTCAGTAAGAAAGACCCTCACAGTTACAGTATAAACCTAAATTAAGAAAAACTAGTCCTAAAGTTCAGCAGAAGAGATAAAATTTGAAATGTATAAATAGAAGTAAGTAGACAGTGGAATGTCGGCAGTTGTAATAAAATGAAAGCATGAGAGAAGAGAAATGGACCCATTAAGGCTTCAGATCCGAGTCCGGCACCGGATCCGATGTACCGGCGAAGATTTCGAACCCAAAGCATCGACGATACTGGCGGGATCTTCCGTTGTGTGGCAGCCTCGTGGCTCTCGCCGTCGCTGGACCCACTATACATGGTCGAGTCGCACCGATCTAGCAAGATGAGTCGACTCACAAAACAGTTCGATTCTTGGAGCAGCGTTTTCTAATTCTCTGAATAAAAAAAAACCCTAACTTTTCGGTTCTATTAATCTGTGTAAAAAGCTCAAAACAATTGCTTTCGGTACAGAAAAGTGCTTCCTCTTTTTCTTTCGGCTTAATGACGCAGGAAGTCCTCAAACTTTTAAAAATTAATTAATTAAGCTACTGAACTTCTTGTGTACCTAATGAAGTCCTTTTTTCTAATAGTATTTCATTATTCACCTCTTTCATCAACTTTCACCGTTAAATGTAACGATTTATTTGGATCATCTAGTGTCATTGTCATGTTATAATATTTTTCATGCGGTATTTTGATATATTTGTCAATTTTTAATTTTTTTCCAAATTTTTAATATTTTTTAATTTTTTAAATATTCTACAAAACCATGTGAAAAAATTTCAAAATGTCACTTGATAGTAATATTTTAGAAAAAAATTAAAATTTAAAGGTTGAATAATAAATTTAATTAATTTAATTTGATGATTCACTTGGGTATAAAAAAATATTTAATTGATTTTTTTAAGATATGAAGGCTTACAAGCATCTTTAAACCTTTTCTTTTGGACTGTTTTTTAATATTATTTGGTATGAAAAGTCCTCTAACGGTTTTAGAAAATTTAATCAAGTCCATTTCAACCATTTGCCCTTAATCAAGTAATCTAACTGCGAATTTTGGTAATAAAGGGTAAACAATACAAGTCGTCACTAATTTTTGAGTAAATTTTCATTTTCCTACTGAAATTTTAAAATTAACAAACTGATCAATAATGATATCGATTTATAATAAATTGACCACTCAACGTTAACAGCCATTACTGAATGTGATGAAAAGCTGATGTCGCACGTTAATCGCTGACTAATACTGTTTCACCACTATTTTGATTGATCTTTCTCTGACATCTCTATTCTCCCATCCCCACTTCCTTTAACTCGTCAAAACTCATTATTTCTATTTAATCTTCTCTCTTCAAGTCTCACTCTGGTTGAAAGCCAATCACTATGTCATCTCACATCTTTATTGCATAAAAAAGGGTCCTAAGGTATCAATTTTAATGGTCCGATAGATCTGTTAGTAACCTATCCCTTTCAATAGGATCTCGTTCTTGGAATCCGGTCAAATTACATAAGTTTCATGTTTTCCATTCCTGATAACTACCGAGTACCTCTGAAAAATATTTGTATCCTCTAGTATGTTTCCCATGTACTACATGATCGTCTTATATGTTTCACCGAAATTATTGAGTTACTGGGTTATGAACCAAGGCTACATGGTATGTGTTCTCTGATTACAGTTTTCACTTGAAAAAAATATGATTGTTCCTGATTTATGGAATCATGGAATTTACTGGTTTATGAACTATGGTTTTCTGTTTTCACTGGTTACTACTTGAACTGTTTTATTAGGACATTATATGGGTAGGCTGAAGGTTCAACTCTGATCAAGCTGGTAAATCCTTACGGACCTAAAGTGACCCTTTGGTAGGCTTGACGCCCCAATAAACTTTCTTGGGTAGACTCTCAAGCCCAAGGCACTCCCTTGGGTTAATCATGGGACTACATATGGTGTACGGGTGGAGGGCAATTATATGGTTTATTTCATTGTCACGTCTACGAGATTTTACTAGATCACGATCTAGATATTACGGTTTATTGTTAAAATTAATTTCTATTGGATTTTATATGGGTAGAATTATGGAGTGTGGAGGTTCAGCCCTGATCCAGCTGGTAAATCCTTAC